TTCTCAGTGAGTGTGCAGAGGATGTTTGTGAGATTTAGGCTAGATTCACACCTAATTGATTGAGCTGTTTTTGCGTGTTTCCATTTGTGCGACTGTGCTTTGAAAACCCGCGCGGTTTCGATGCATAGAGATGTCTGTGGGACCCGAACCGCCTGAAAATAGCTCCTGCACCGTTTTGCTAACAGGCGATTTCGTCCGCACGACAACCTCAAAGGTGTGAACAGCCTCCATTGACTTCAATGCGAATCTCCTAGATGTGAACCTAGCCTGAAGATACCATTCACTTTCTGCCTAATTAGGGCAGTAGGCCATCCTTGTATTTATCTTCTGGCATGAAAATGGCACCAGCTGAGGGAAACAATCATTTGCAACTCTCTGGGTCATAATTTACACGGGGCTATGAATTCTCCTTGTGCTGATTGGCCCAGAGCGTCACATGGTCCTCCATACCTGGTAGTACTGTGAAGTTCTATTGGCTCATTGTTAACGAAAGGTTAGTTTGAGGGGAGGGGGGAAGCGATTAAGCAAACATACTGCTTTGCCCTAATGGACAAAGCACAGGTTTGCACTCCCGTGATGGACTACAATCTCACATTTAATGTACTAATTTTTGTTGTGTTCTTGGAGCGGTGACTAATTTACAACACACACAGAGACCATCCGGAACAAAAGTGGCCACCATCCTCAAGGAAGGACAGTGTCGGCACCAATTCAGAGATGATTTGAGGATCTACAGCCGAGTGATACACAAATAAGATACATTTTTCTTAATAGTTAAGGTACTTGAATGTATGTTTAAGATTTATTTTTGAGGTTTTTCTCTAGTCTAGTATCTAGTAAAGTATCTGTCCATCCCTACTGTATTCACATATATGGTGATCTGCGTTCTTCTGCACAAGGAAAACACAGGTCACCGCCAAGGCACTTAGAATACAACTGCTTTCTATGTGCCCTGTTTACACCACAACAATAGTGTGATGTGTGGAGTACACACTCTCAATAAAGTTGTGAACTCAAAGAGGTAAACCGTTTCAGCGCATCACATGGCCCCTCATGGACCTCAACCCACACTATAATACTCGGCTACTGTGAATGAGCCCTAAGGGCTTGTTCACACCAAATGCAGATCAGGTATGCATGAGCAGTGTGTTTTGATGCGTTTTTGACGTGTTCCAGGCCGTTTGTGTAAAAAAAAAAAAAAGGTTTTTTTTAGCCTAAAATGGTCTTTCAATGCGTTTCAGATTGTTTGCATGCGTATTTGATAAAAAATAGGCTGTGCTGCAGTTTTTCCTCATGCTCTGGAACGGAACGCTCTGGGGTGAACTAGAGCCCAAAATACCATTGGAATAAATTGGACGCAGTTTTGATCCATTCTGTAACGGCTCTGCGCTTGGTGTGAACTAGCTCTTAAGGTGCGTTTCTATGACAGGTGGCCTAACTAGATTTAGGTATTGGGTACTTTGTACTTCTGTTTTCTTTAGATACAAAATGGAAACGTAACCAAACATTACCTTGTCTAAAGCTAATTTAGCTGATAACAGGCAGCAAGTTTTTCTGGTTTCATACTGAGCAATGTTTTATTTGACACTAAAAGTCCCCTTGTAGAGAAGCCTTTTTGTTTTTTGGTTGGCGTCGAAGAAAGCAGTAATGTAGCATCACAACAGATATCAGCTTTTAGTGTTATTTGAAATATAATTGCAGTAATGAAAGTAATCTGTTCCAGCTTCCTGTTAGGCTGGGCACTAGGGCTGCAACAACTAATCGACATAATCGATTATAATCGATTATTGAAAAAGTTGTCAACTTTTTCAATAATCGATTAATCGGCTTCCGATCAGTTGGCCCTGTTCACGGCTCCACCCACGCTGCACGCCGCACCTCCTCACCACCTCACGCTCTCGCTGCTGCCATTCTGCATTCATTGCTGTATAATTTTACACTTTCCTTTCCACTATATTGCACACCACACTATTTTTTTTTTTCTTTTTTACTTCCACCGCTCCTGTGATGGAGTGCAATCTCAATACAAACTAGTAGTCCATCACTGGAGCCATTTTTTAAAATGTATTTTATCGTTTATCCGATTAACCGATTAATCGAACGTAATAATCGGCTAACTAATCGATTTTGAAAATAATTGTTAGCTGCAGCTCTACTGGGCACACACCTTACAACCATCGCAAGACTTTTGTCTTGCGATGGTTGTAAGGTACTTAAAAAAACGTACGATCTGCCTATGTTGCATAGGCAGATCGTACTTGCGATGATCGCAAGCCACGCCCCCTGAGGGGCGGGCTTCCGATGACCGCAATGCCGAACGGGCAGTGTGCGCTTGCGCACACCGGCCCGTACGGCTGTTATCGTACGGACATGCCACAAACCCGCCGAACGTCGTACGATGGTCGGCGGGTTTTCGAACATGTCCGTAAGTTCAAAGTCGTGCGACCTTACAGTAGTAGAGGTCGCACGGCTTCCACACACCTTACGATAATCGTACGATTGCGGGATTTCCCGCGATTATCGTACGATTATCGTAAGGTGTGTGGGGACCTTTAGAGTAGACAGTCCTTGGCTACTTCATATCATTTATCCTGATGATTATATTGGACAGTATTCAAATGTTTATCAGTCACTATACCTGAAATGTTTGGCACTATTTAAATAGCATGTTTGCATTGTGTGAATTCAGTTCACTTGCATATAATTCGTGAATACCTCCTTGGCTCATAATATTTAGCTTGGATGAATAAGGACTGTGAGTTGAGTCTATGCAGCTGGCTTAGTGAGATTTGCATGTTTTCTATTCTAGAAATATGCAAAGACAGAGTGCATACATGTGATTAATGGCAGACGGCGTTCGATGACGCTTTGAAAATGAAAGGTAGAAGTTGAATCGTTACTATGTACAATTGTTCCAGATTCTGTCTGCTCTGGTTTTAAAGTGACACTGAACTGAGGAGTTAAAGGGTTATTAAACCCTCAGCGGTATTGGCATATATCTACTGCTAGCAAGCAGTACATATATGCAAAAACTTCTTTAAAAAAAACCCTTTTGAAACGGGTTTAAACTTACCTATGTCTTCGCCGCGCGCTCCCATCCGAACATCTGAAGAGTCTCATGCGGCCGCAAAGGATCTTGAGGCAGGCGCATGCACAGTTCAGATGTTTGGTTGAGAGACGAGAAGAGACACAAGGTAAGTCTATGGAGCAGCGTGCACCCGCACAGACGCCGTGGGACATCAGAGAAGAGGAAAATGCACACCACAGGGCTCAGCAGACTCCCAATGATATTCTCCACCAACAATTGTTTGCAGGCTGCTGTCTTCAAAAGGCCACTGGGAAGTATTCCTCGCAAAACAAACAGCGCCTTGTCCTCGTGTAATACAGTTTATTAATCAATGAACATACAAGCTGACAAAATATTACTCGAATGGTACAAGGCAGACCACACACAAAGCTGCCTTGCTATCTGATGCGTTTCGGGGAATATACCCCCTTCCTCAGAGCTCTGAGGAATATTTTGTCAGCTTGTATGTTTATTGATTAATAAAGTTTATTACACAAGGACAAGGCGCTGTCTGTTTGTTTTGCATCAGAGAAGAGGACAGAGGAGTCATTGCTGGATCGGAGACTCGCACCAGCGCAGGAGGGACAGCTGAAAAGGACAGGAAGGAAGAAGATGATCGAATAAAAAGGGCATAATTTAAGGTAAGTCCTGACACTAACATTAGGTGGGGGAAAAAGAAATAGCCTTTAATGTCACTTTAAATCTTAAAAATACATTCAAGTACCCTATTAACAAAAATGTATCTTATTTGTGTATCACTCAGCTGTAGATCCTCCAATCATCTCTGAATTGGTGCTGACACTGTCCTTCCTTGTGGAGGGTGGCTACTTTTGTTCCCCATGGTTCCTGTGTGTGTTGTACTGTCGTAGCCAAAAGTTTTGAGATTGACACAAATATTAGTTTTCACAAAGTCTGCTGCTTCAGTTTGTATGATGGCGATTTGCATATATTCCAGAATGTTATGAAGAGTGATTCGATCAATTGCAATTAATTGCAAAGTCCCTCTTTGCCATGAAAATGAACATAATCCCCCAAAAAACATTTGCACTGCATTTCAGCCCTGGCACTAAAGGACCAGCTGACATCATGTCTGTGATTCTCTTAACACAGGTGTCAGTGTTGACGAGGACAAGGCTGGAGACCACTCTGTCATGCTGATTGAGTTAAGGTGCCCATACACCTTACGATTATCGTACGATAATCGTATGCGATCGACTTTTCGTATAGCTTTTAATTAGCTCACAATCATTGCAAGACAAAAGTCTTGCGATGGTCGTAAGGTGTATGGGCACCTTTTAGGCAGTTGTCTCTGGAACAGGTGTCCCCATTGGAAGATTTTCCCCTCACTCCTGCTCTGGTGACAGCTGTAAAGTTTTGGACTTCCATTGCAATCTGTATTGGATACAATGATTTAAAACCAGGCTAATTGCATTGTCTGTGCGGCCAGTGCAGCCCCATCGCATGTGAACAGGTCATAAAGCTACAAAGTTGCTTTCTCCATTCCTTAGAAAGTAGGAATATGTCTAATGGTTATAGTCAGTGAGTTGAAGTGAACCTGTCTGAGATTAAAAACCAGCAGCTGTGAGTTCTCTACACGTGTTCTAGACAACCGCCAAAATATCAGTTATGGAGAACGCAGGTCCGAGTCCTGGACTGCCCCCTCCTGCTTTCTACAGACCAATGTCTCTCAATCAGGGTAGACACGTTTTGTGGAGTTTAAAGTGTACATCAGCAAAAGAAATCATGTACATCTACCCATTATTTTGTTTTCCTGTCGGTACAGAAAAACACCCATTGAAACTGAAGTATTAGAGTAAAATATACTCTTCCCAATAATTTGAGTCAGCGTGCAACACTACAGCTCCACCCTTTAGATTGAGAGCTGAGCGATCACAAACCGCTGATCGCTCAGCTCACAATCTTCTCCCTGCAGAGAGCGGTGACTTGTCAGTCAGTACCCCCCGCAGGGATGCCCCCCTCTCCGATCCTCCAGTGCTCATTGGAGGGACAGACAGGAAAAGAGGCGGGCATAGCTAGCTGTGGCTCTAGAGAGGCAGACCCAGCTATCAATCATGGCGTCTAGTGGATCCCAGCAATATTGTTGGGATCCTTCCCGATTCCAGTGCAGCTCTGCGCTGCTGGCATATAATAGGCAGTAGCCAGCTGCTGAGTGTGGTCACAGGGCAATATATCAGTGAACTACTTTTGGGTGAGTATAATTTTGTTATTTTAGCACCTAGACAAAAACATAATTCAATCAGTTTTTATTAAATTTTCAGTACAAAGAATACAAGCATTTGGAGGAGTAGGGGGCAACACGGTACAGATGTTAATAGAACCCTGTCAGGTACGAGGCATTGATATTAAAGAGTCACACATTCCATTAGGGACACTCACATGCCCCTAGGGGGCCGTAGAGTATAGGGCCCATAGATGGGTTTCCTAAAGCGGTTTTCAGCCATGGCACCTGTAGATTAAGCCTCATACCAGTATTATAAGAGTTGAGTTAAAGGACCATGTTGTATCCCCTAGTGGTAAATCTAGGCAAAACCTAGACAAAAACAAGCAGTTAACCCGTGCAGTGCGGGGGAATCTGCAAGGGCTAATAAAAAACATTTCTGGAGTTCTTTAATTCCAGAGTGTGAGGTCCTAGATTTTGGTGCATTGGAAGTACATGCAATGTGCAAATATTAGCAGCAGCACCCCAAATATTCATTTTGCCAGGTTTTCACTGATATTTGATAGTTTCAGACCAGTCACTATTTCATAGGATAGCAGTAGATATATGCAAAAAAAACCGGAGGGTTTAATAACCCTTTTAACAGGATGGTGATTCTCTTGATTGTGTTAATAAGGAGATGGTTGCACAGGTGTCCAGTGACACCGACATGTCTGTATGCGCTGTTTAATGGTAAACATTGACATGAGATAATCATTTCTGACCTGGTAGAAGTGGATTATCCTGCACAGTCTTTATTGATGTCACTGGCACCCACATTGCTCTCTCATTTGTAGGGGGCATTATTCTGCAAAGACGTACTGAAAAGGGGAGATGATGCACCTTTACTACCCAATTAGATTTAATTTACCTGAAGATAGAGCAGTGGGAGGTGGATTGTGTTGCTGTCATTTGTTGTCTCAATAAATTCTTTAATTTTTATCCCCCTGCTATTTTTATTATATGTTTCTGCTTCTTTTGCGTCTGTGCAGTTTTCCTATTATTATCTGTCTTTGCAGGCTGCATTATTGCAAAGTAACTTACATGCATAGTTCCCAGTGGAAAGGATTATCACTGGTTTAAAGTATTTTGTTGCGTCATTACTATTAATTTTTATCTGCTTATCACTCTTCTTTTATTTTCCAGATTTTCATCCCCTTTATTAAAATCTAAAGAAATAAACGGCAGTATGACAGCTGAGACTCAGACTCTGAACTTTGGCCCCGAGTGGTGAGTGTGTCCAATATATTAATAAATGGCTTCATCATGAAAGAAGTATTACACTCTCAAACTTTTTTTTCACTAATGAATCCAGATCAGACAAATATACATTGCTTTACATTTTTGTCCAAACACTTAGTCATCATGTTTGTGAACAGCTGACTCCAACTCTCTCATCTCAGCTTCCCTCAACTTTATATCCAGTACAAGATCACAAGGGACAAAGCCGGCTCCAGCAACTGTTCTATCTACTAACTTGGAGGAGGGGGGCCAGGGGGAGGGAAGTAGCTTGATTTGCTGTGTGTTTGTGGAGACACACACAACTTACTAGTCATACAAGGGTGGCTCCATAGGACCCTGCAAGAGAAAGGAGCCACCCTAAAACAGGAAGTCAGAACCAGTGCTCAGGGGAGCAGCTGATTCTGGAGGAAAGAAAAACATTTAAACATCAAGGAGCAGCATTATTGTAAGTGATTTTATCAGCATCTGGAATAGCTTAAAATACTTTTTGACTTTATTATCACTTTAACATAAGCTACAATAGTGCTAATAAAAAATATGTGCTTTCCACATGCAGGGCAAACAAGTTCAATTCATTGGCAGCTAAGCACCTGTACTGTCATGTGGATGAAATGGGTCACATGCTTCCCCTACCCATACCCATGGGAGAGCTAAGAGAAGGCAAGTTTAGCTTCTGCAGTGGCTGCCATTAAAGTTAAACTATAGCTTGCTCTGCTCGGGGAAAGCACATATTCACTTCAAACACTGGTGGGCCTTGCTTGGATTTTCTCACACTCTGCAGTGTTGTGTCTGGAGATTTATGGGCTCCTATGCCAGCTTTAGGCTTGTCATTACAAGCACTTTCTGCTTCTCTCATACGTATGGTGGTAAACCAGTTTATTAGCATTGCATCAATGTCAGAAAACAACAGCAGCCGTATGGTAATACAGCAGAAACAGCTTTTTTGTTCTAATTAAGGAGCCAAGATTTTATCTCCGCAATTTAGATGTTTTCTGGAAATGAAACCGGATGATCCACATTTTTCTTTTTTTTCAGGTCTGTTACAGTGAAACTCTTACACTGGTCTCTTACACAGATTTAACCTCATCCAGGCCATCCATTGTTTTACTATCCATCATCTTCCAGCTCTTAGGGCTCCATCACTAATCCATTTGTTATGTCTTCTCCTCTTCCTCCTGAATTACCCTGAACATTCTTCTTTTTTATAAATGAAAGTATCTTTGCTCATTGTTTACCTATACACAAAACATATATTGGCTTTATGAGGTAGTTTAGATAGAATATACAGGCCTCACTTATTGTTTTCAATCTTTTTTTTATTCTCAAAATAGTAGACAATACAAGCGAAGAAGAAACAAAACACATAAAAAAAAAAATCAAACTAACAAAATCAAACTAACAAACGTGGGCATGTGCATACAGGGACGTGGGCAGATTTGGGAGAAGCGCTTTTCATTCTGTGATACTTCAGCTTTCAATCCTCCTGGGGGAACCAGCTCCCTCTTTACTACCTCTCCACAACAATCTCCAGATACAAGTGTATATCTAAACTTTGTTTCTCTCTCGCTTCTCAGATGGGATGTATGGCTCAAAGTAATGGATTAAAGATCTCTCATAGTGTAGTATATTTTTAAAAACGGCATGTATTAAAAATAGAAAATTTACAAGTATAAAATAAATGAGCAGAAAATCCTCCCATGATGCCAATATCACGTTTTGTCGCTATACATGGAAGGGTAGGCGGAGTGTACCAACAAAACGTGATATTGGCCATAATTGCAGGAGTGCCCAGGGATCCCTAAAACCTGGGGCAATGTAGCCTGCGGATTGCTCAGAGCTAGCTTGGCCTCTCCCTAGTTTGAGATCTTGGAAAAGCTGAAGATCCCAAATACCATGAGACGATGCTTCAGCATTGTGCAGTACAGCATTCTCGCAGGTTTGGAGATCCTCCACCTTTTCAGGTACCCACGAAAAGATCCGGTGATGTGCTCCATTAAATCTTTGCCTTGTGCACAGTTAGTGTCTAATCCAGGAATGTCCAAACTCCGGCCCTCCAGCTGTGGTGAAACTACAAATCCCATGAAGCATCTCTCTCCGAGAGTCATGTCTTTGAGAATCTTGCAATGCCTCATGCGATTCGTAGTTCTACCACAGCTGGAGGGCCGCAGTTTGGACATCCCTGGTCTAATCAAAACCTATTACCTGGGAATTGCCATTCTAACGCTGTCTTTTGCATATTGCAGGCTGAGGGCTCTGTCTAGCGGGGGTTCTGTTATTTCCCCACCCCTCTCTCCAGCATTGCCAAAGTACAAACTTGCAGATTATCGGTACGGCCGGGAAGAGATGCTTGCACTTTATGTAAAGGACAATAAGGTAAGCAGAATACCCAAATGCATAATTTTAATTGGTGTTTCTTGCATTTCTTTGCATAGTTGTTACTAAATATCTACTGTATTTGTTGCTGACATTACTTATCCAAAGAAGGAACTACAGTAGTAGAACTACTATATTATTTTACTAATTTTTATTGCACTACAGTAGCAGATATCACCAGCAGGTGGTGCTCTAACTAAATCTAATTGCAGTACTTTGTCCTACAGCTTCTCATTTTGCAAATGCCAGTTGCCTACGTATCATTGCTGACCATCTTACTTTCATTTGTTGAAACACTAACCTGAAATAAGTATGGTGATAAAGGCGGTTGGGTTATGCAGCTACCATCAGGTGATTGGACACTGTCAGATCAAACCTATAGGACAGCCCTCTATAACCCCTCCCATTCCCAGTTTACTCTTTCTGCTCAATTCTCTTTTAACAGTTTTCCTTATACTGCTCACAGCTACTGTGGGCCTGTTAGCAGCTATCTGGATTGTTTTTCTCCTCGGTAGGGCCTTAGGAGACCGGATCTGGACCATGCCAGAAGGAAGATGGGGGAGCCGATCTGTTATGTGCTTAGGGTACTGGATCCTGTGTGTACCACTGTCGCCTTGACAGTTTGTGCAGCTTGTGCTGTTGCCACTTTACAGGTCCGGGGCAATGCCCATTTTGGTAGAGTCCTGTCCCTAAAGACCGTCTTTGGGGGGCATGCCCACTGGGGGGACAAAGACTGGATAGGTCATGTCCCCTTTATATAATTGTGCTGCTCTGCTTGCTGAGGTGCCCAGGTAACAGCCCCTTTCAATGTATAGTGCCTTTTCCATAGTCCATAGGGTGGCCTATGGAGACCCATAGTGCTTGTGCAGCCTCCCTTTGGAGTTTCTCTGCTACAGATGTGCCTGCTATGCTATTTTCCTTCTCCTGGCACGTGCAAGCTGACCACATGCTTTCAGTGCAGTTGCTGCGACTGTGCATGTCTACCAGTAAATCAAAATCTATGCAAACTGCTGCTCTTGTTCAACACTCCTGCCTGGGTCACTGCTGAGACCCTAGGCACCCGATAATCTCCTCAGTAGTGAGTACTAGGTAATGCCTTCTAAGGCAATAGCAGAACATAGACCTGAGGAGATGTGGCTGACAGGCCTCACAGTCTGACAACAATTCTGGGTAGGTGCTAACCTTATGCTCTGCTTCTTCTCTCTCTCCTCCAGGGTCCTCTTCAGCACATTCCAGGGCTCTAATTTGTGCTGTACAGAGAAGAGTTTACTTCAGTAATAGCAGAATTTATGGGGAGATGTCTGCGTCTCTCAGACTGCAGGGTGTCTTTCCCCTCCACAGTCCCCCTCCGACTTTGCTCCGTCTGTTTCTGCACTCCCTGAGAGGAAGATGAGAAGGAAGGGGTTGCTTCCACTTCTGTGGGCCAGGAAGAGGACCTGTCTCCTGGTATCGCCTGATAGCTCAGGAACAGGCAGTTGATGCCTTGTTGACTCTGTGGGACCAGTTCAGCCTGATCTACGCCTTTACTCCTCTAAAATTCTTGCCCCATCTTCATTGCAGGATTGAGACAAAGGGCATCCCAAGGATTCTTATTGCTCCCAACTAGCCCAGAAGACTGTAGTATGCAGACATAGATAAGCTCCTAGCAACCTATCCATTGGCACTTCCAGATTGTCCAGACATCCTGTACCAAGGACAGCTATTCCACCCTCCTTCGGTCGCTGTCTTCAACAACCTGGCTGAAAGACAAAGGCCTTTCAGACACTCTCATCCCTACTCTTCTGAAAGCTAGTATGTTTACTTCTTGCAAGGTTTACCATCGTATCTGGAAGGCTTATTTCTCTTAGTGTGAAGCAAGGAAGTTGGGCACATCTTATGTTTCCTCCAGTCTGGACTAGGCCAATGTTTAGTCTTGAGTACTGTCAAGGGTCAGATTTCTGCCTTGGTGATTCTTTGCTAGAGGCTGCTTGCCTAGGGAAGGCCTTTTCGCAGTCCGGGGGTATGTCTCCATTGGACCCCAGCTTAGTCCTGTCAGTCCTGTGTAAGATGCCCGTTGAACCGCTCAGAGATGTCCGTCTGGCGCTACTGCACACTCCCAATCAGTTCTTTCAGGGGTGTATCAGATCTGGCAGGCTTGACTTAGAAAGAGCTCTGTCTAATTATTAATTAGTCACTTAACCAAGACATTGTCCTACTATTCCTATGTTCTGCTCTCATACATGCTAAGGCGGTTTCTCTCCATTGTTTGGACATGGTTCAGCCTATTCCTGTTTACCTCCCTGTTACTCCTTTACAAGTCTTACACCTTCTTTGTAATTCATGAAGGTCCTCATATGAGGGCAGCTGCTTTCTCGCTCCACTTGTGCTAGTGGGGTTTGGTGAACTATCAATCAGGCCTTTGAGTTGAAGGCATAATGTTCCCCCTTTCCGGTACAGACTTACTGTGCTAGAAGCATTAGTGCTTCTTGAGCCTTCCAACATCAAGCTTGGGTAACCCAAGTCTGTAAGGCTGTCACCTGGTCACACTTTTGCCAAGTTTTACCAGGTGAACATGCAGGCCTCTGTACATCCTATCTTTGGCTGCAAGGTTCTTCAGGAGGCCCTCTGAATTGTGTGTCATAGTTCCCTGTTGTGGTTTTTCTTGATCCTCCTAGCTGTGGTTTGCTGGGTTGCCGCTTTAATGTTGGACTGCTTTTGGACTTTTCATCCTTTACAGAATTGGCTCTGTGTGTCCTGTGATATTTATACTCCAAGAAACTGATTTTACAGGTAAGACTAAAATCCTGGTTTTCCTGCTGTGACTTCATACATACATACATACATACATACATCATGTTTTGTATATTTGATACTTTAATGTACTTTTGGACTACCTTTCTTCCTCATACCTGGTTTTCGTTCTGTTTCCCTGAAATTTTCAAGATCAAAACGGACAGAAAGCAGTAGTATCTTGCCCAGGTTTTGCTTATAGCAACAGTCGAAATATTATATGCAAAATTATTATTTTAAAAAGAGACAATTTTTCAGCGTTCTAAATAACTGACGGTATAATAATGCTGTGAACCGTGATGGAAATGGTCAGAAGGAAGAATAGTTCTTTATGCCAATAGCAGCCAGTTATATTCTACAGCATGAAGTCTGCAATCTTTTCTTGCTCTGCTTTTTTTATAAGGCAAGTATTTATTTTGCTGCAGGTCCCTTCAGATCTCATGGATAAAGAGTTCCAGCCTATTTTGAAAGAGGAGCCCCTACTACCGTTGGCACTTGTTCCATTTACTGAGGAAGAGCAGGTAGGTTTGTAACAAACTAACAAGTCTTCCAAGTATGTGCAATATAACAGATGTAAACTTGGAGGATTGCATCTTCAGAAAAGCAACAACCTTGGTCTTCAGCCAGCTGAGCTTGGAGCCGGCATGTTATCGGAAGGTATCTTGATAGTTCTCAAGTGAAACACTTTATAAATGAGGCTTATTGATATAATATATTTCTGCCATCTGAATATATATAATCTTTTACTATCTGATGTGAATTTCCCAGACGGGTTAGTTTCAGTTTACTGTGGTCGTAGTATTTACTGTTTGACGTGTGGATTGGACAGTGATGAGAAGGTGTAGAGATTTCATCTAGGAAGTAGCACATTTGTTTCTTACTTTTGGAAGGTGGGGGACTGGCAGTATCAGCTGCTGCTCTGTAAATTCTGACACACTTTATTTGTGATCTGTGCCTGCCGTGGCGGTAGTTCTGATATGGCTGTGCCTGCCCATACTATTGGAGGCTGTATCGTGCCAAAGAGGAGGAATTCCTTCTACTTGCGTGTGAGTGTTGGTTGCATAAGGGATCCCAACTAGTTTTTTCACATAAAAAAAAGATTGTATTTTCTCTAAAATTGTGGAAGGCTTTTCTAAGGGCGGCCAGTTTAGATTTAAATTGGGCTTAGATGAGTTCTTTTTTTTTTTTCTGACGTGAGGCTGCACTTCTTTTTCTTTATCTCAGAAGAAAAAATATTTTCCAGTTACAGATGTTTCCTGATTTTTATCTCATTGTCACAAATATTGAAATATTTTCTTGTTTACCCACAGAGAAACTTCTCCATGTCTGTTAACAGTACCGCTGTACTACGCCTCATGGGGAGGGGCAGCAGTGTTGGAGTAGGGACAGTAGTAGGGGCTCCTAGAGGTCGGAGTTCTTCCAGAGGTCGAGGTAAGTAGAGAAGTAAAAGTTCTGTTTTATGCTGTTTGCATGGACTCGCCTGTATTTGATCTTCACCCACATTTTTTTCTTGGGTTGGAGTGAGGCAGAGTTCTGTCCTTCAGATATTGGTGAGATCATCCATTTCAGTTATGTTTAACCTTTTAATGATCATAAATTTGAAGATGCTGTAGAAAGGGGTTTCTGTGCGCTCTAGTCAGTCCTCCATATCTGCTACACTCTCATGAATACCAGTAGGTACAGTCTGATACACAGAGCCCAGTCATTGTGTGTGAGGTGGTATTTGTTTGTCGCACTTCATTCTGGGTTTAGTAAACATGAAAAACTCTTATCAACTATGGGATTAACCTGAAATGTTACAATCTGACCTCATAAAATATCCAATCTGATTTCCAAAAACGGTTTTAGAAGGACCTACATTAGGTATATATATTTGTGTGGAGCAGAAGGCTTAGAACTCCCTCATGTCAGGTTTTTAATGATTTCTGTGTCCCCATTAGGGATACTTACCCATGTTATTTGTGCTGTTGACTGCTGTCAATTGGACTGAAGAAAAATACAATTTCTGAGTTCCTGCCAGGAAAAAAAATGGTAGAAATCAGGACAGTTGTTTCTGTGACACTGTGCTAGAGGATTACTCACTTTTGGAGAGATTTCTTTTCCCTTACCATTGTGTTTACAGAACACGAAGCGAAGGAAAATCTCAAATGGAAAACAGATGGCAGAAAAAAAAAAGAACTGACAAGGGTTTTAACCAGGGGTGTGGAATTCTTATCGTCTGACGCCAGGCAGGTAGTTTTTTCTACATGTAGGCCGGCTTCGGGCAAGCAGGGCTAAATGTAAAGCGGGGAGGCCGCCACTCTTTTTATACAAGTGATCTCTGTGATGCCACTGAGATCACTTGTAATAAGCTTGCAGATCTGTCCCCTTCTGCCCCCCCCCTCCAAGGTCCGCCCCCTCACCACCAGCTGCGCCTCTCCCGGCTGGCCGCCTCCCTCCCCACTGTGGTTTTCATGGTCCTCTGCTCTTCTGGTGGACCTGGGACCACGTCAGATTAGTTGAGGATGGAGAGCAGGGAGCCGCTCCGTTCTCAGCTGTGCTCCGTGTGAACACTGAGACAGGAGAGTTGCAATCCCAGCCTTCCCATCTCAGATGTCACAGGAGATCCAGCACAGTGCTGTGCTAGAACTCCTGTATTGGAGATGACAGGTTCAATAAAGGGAACCTGTCACCTCCAAATGCTATCACACGGGGGCTTGTTAGGTTCTGTGTGATAGCAATAAAGTTAATTGGAAAAAAAATAAAAATGGATAAAAAATTAAAAATAATAATGTAAATAATAAGAAATAATAATTAAAATAAAAAATAATAAAATAAAAAAATTCAAAAAAGGTAAAATATAATAAGATGTATATATATAAAAATGGAAAAAAAGTAAATAATGATCTTTCTGTATATTGTTTCCTGCTGCCCATTCAACATGTTGTATATGCTGTCGGCTAATAAACGAAAAAATAAAATAAAAAAGTAAATAATAAAAATGTAAAACCAACCCTGCCGCCCCCCACTATCTGCTAAAGAAATAAACGCATGCGTAGGGCATTGCGCGTGTCTGCGTTGAGTGCTGCACCCATTTCACTCTGTGCCATAGTGTGGTAGTTGGGCAGCAGCGCTCTCAAACACAATAAGCATTAAGTGTAGGTTCACTTTTCCAAGTAATTTCGGAAAATTACCTGCTCAAATCTAACCCCCTCCCTGCTTTACTTACCTTTTGGAAAACAGTCCTTCCCCTCCGCTGATATGGGTGTACTATAAGTACCCCATACTGCCATACAGTGCAGCCCTGGGCCATGGATATTGAATTTCGCTCACAAATTGTGAGCACTCGTTGGTCAGCGCCGTCACCTGTCTGCACTGACCAATGAGAAGCGCTTCTTAGCCCTGCTAAATACGTTTTTGTTGTTTTGTGTATCAGGACGAGCAAATCGTAATGAGGGACAAGTAGATTGGGCCCCTGCTTTACTCCTTGGACAAGTAGTTTTTTAAAGATTTCCACACCCCTGATCACCATTTGCTACACACCCAAAATTAAAAAAGTTTTGGCTTTAGATATACTTTTATTTTTCATCAATACATTTTTATTTCAGAAGGTCAATCCTCTTCAGTTTTTCCATAGTTATTTTTACATAAAAAAAGAGAGAACAGCAATTACAAAACACAACAAATTGACTCATGGTCCCCAAAAAAGTTGAAATGCGACTTTCATCTGCTTGTTACAGACATATGTGAAGGTGATAACCATAAAATACAGCTTTTCAGTATGTTCTGCAATGAGGAGAGCGTTACAGTAAAAGATTCTATTTATGATTTTAAAATAACTGTATCGCAGCAACAAAAAGTTAATATTTGGAGATACTGATCAGCTGCCTACGGTGGGGACTCTAATCTCTAGAGAGCCTGTAGAAATGCTTTAACTATCCAATCAATTTGTTTGCAGTTTGACAGTCTCTTGCATTACATTGCGGCTGGCAGAACTTAAGGAAACTGTAAAGTCAGATTGTAATATAAGTGGCGTGATATATGGACACAAAGTGACACTAAACTGAGGAGTTAAATTTGAAAAATGCATTCAACTACCCCAACTTACTAGAAATCTCTGAATTGGTGCTGACACTATCCTTCCTTCTGGAGGGTGGCTACTTTTATTCCCCATGGTCCATGTGTGTTGTAAAGTAGCCACTGCTCCAAGCTCGCTCCTGTGATGGACTACAATCTCATGTTAAGTTTATTAATTTGTATTAAAATGTGAACAGTGACAGCATCGGCATTGTGCGTTAGAGCACACACTACCGGAGCTGTCACCGTCACTGGTTATACATTTTTTTTCTTTATTTTGGTAATGTAGAATGTGTATACTCTGTTCAGGTTCCTGCACAGCTGTGTGGTGACCTGCAGGGGCATTCAGTGCTGTATGTGTGAACGGGCCCTTAAAAAGCTGTAGGCTAGGATAATACCTCATACTACCAGGATGCCTTAATTGTTATTTTGCAAACATTTTTTCTTCAAGACCTTTCTCTACATTGCTACTAGATCTGGTCCCTATAATTCCTGCTATCTGGCATTTCCATCATTATCCTAGCTTGCAAAGAGCCACGTGGAACTCAGATCTTCAGTCTCTTCCTGCTGCCCACCTACAGCGACTGCGGTCACCTCCAGCCATCTAACCCTCACCTTCTACCAGCAGTTGGGTTTCATGAGTCCATGCCTTGTACCTCAAGCTTTATATACACTTGTTGCCACATGGTCACAGCATGTCTGATTCTAGGCACAGGGGACAGCCCCCAGCTCACACTCTAATGGCTCTGTTGCTGCTTGCAGCACACCTACTGACGTGGGCGATGTGACGGACGGAACCATCACTGGGGCTGTTGGAGGAGCCTGGGAGCTAGCCTTCTTCCTACTGACTATGGACCTAGAACTGAGGAGACCCCTCTCAGACCTCTTGGGGTTACAAGGAACTATTGACCCTGATTTATGTGTGGAGTTTATATGCCGCATCTTTCCTATAACCCATTAAAGGTGCAGGGTGTGAATCCAGCAACACAAAAAGGGTTAATTCTCCACTGGGACTCCCAATGAATGTGTTAGTTTATTTGTCCCTTTTGTTCTATGGTGTTGATGGGATTAAGATAGCTGATTCTAGGAGTAGCTGACTCCGGGTCTAGATGAGTAGATCACCCTATGATACACTCAGGAGTTAATCCCATCACATGTGTCTCCTCTCCCTATTCATTCATTAAGGCATCGGGGAGGGGATGTCTGCTTGCATGCTGTTCATGTTTGATTACGTTATGTTTTTAGACTTCCAGAACTGTATATATACTGAGCTGGTGTTTAATAAAGTCAGTTCTTGGTTTCCACCTCAACATTGGTGTTGTCTGATGATTGAGGAGTTTAGCTTTCTGGCCTAATATATTGGTTACGTCCAATAATTAGGCAGGTTTGGACTGAGGACACTGGAATTCGGGTTCCAGCGGATAGGAAGCTGATTTCTGACGGAGGTACCCAATCGGGGTACCAGGCGGTCCGTCACAGGCGATATCTGCAGTTTGCAATCATATAGTCCTCTATTCCTAGAGTCTGTCTCATCTTTGGGTGTGGCTAGCTCTCCTGCTCTCTCGGCTGAGGATTTTACTACAGTCATGCATGATTATATGGCCCAAATCGCGCAGTTATTTGTTGACTCTGAATGTAGATTCCACAAACGTGCTCCCATGCCTTTCCATGGCTCAGCCTCTGAGTCATCTGCTGCTGATCTGTAAAGATTTTGAGTCATTCTAGTCCTTGCTGGCTCTGAGGAGTCACAGTTTTCTGCTATTACTCCCAAATTGAAAGAGACTGTTTTAACTGTTTTGGCTGTGCATCACTTAAAATTTGAATATCAGCCTATTGCTTCTACCAGTGTCTTGGGTCCTTTAGACCCTTTAACTATTTCCTGGTGCACCCGCTGTTTCAAATCTTTCTCTATGGTGATTGGGCAAACCTCAACCAGATGTTTGCTCCCCTTAAGTGCTTAATAACCTTGTATCCTTTGAAAAATACTTTAATAAAGTAGGACACAGCTGGTTTCACAGTGGGGGCAGACCACTTTTGGAGGACACACCGACCTTTAAAGACCCAACCAGTAAGTGGTTGGAACCTTTTTATTTATTTTTAATTTTTTTTAGAGCTCTGTTTTCCCTGGCAGCTCCTGCTCTTTACCCTGGCTCAGCTGTGGCTTTGACCAGTCAGTCAGTTTGGCAATGCAAGGTTTGTTAAAAGTGATATGGTCACTACTGCAATTGATCCCCTGATCCTAGAATGCAACTAGTTGTAGCTATAAGCTACAGTTGTAACGGGCTGGTAAAGGTTTCCTGTCTCATCTTCTGCCTGGGTCTCCTGTCAGTGCACATAAGAAGGATGTTCTTAACGTGCAGGACTACAAAACCTGCATCTAAGAATCGCTTGCTGCGCATGGTCTTTGAGGGACAATGTCTCTTTGGACCTACGCTACTGGTGTTAAAGAACCCATCTCTCTCAGCTAAACAAGCCTAATGCACAGACTGGTGAGGCTCATCCCTTGCTTGAGTCCAAACTCAAACTTAGCTCCCAGTCCACCAGCAAGGTCTGGACTTCAAAGTCTGACAAATCCTCAGACAAATCTTCCTGTGCATGAAGGTGCGTCCACACATTTCAATAGGAGAGTGTCTGTCAGCCTTTGCAGATTGCATTTCCGATGCTTGGGTACAGGAGGTTGTTTCCAGGGGCTACAAGCTAGAGTTTGGCTCCTAGTCCCCTCCTCCGTTTCTACTCTTGAACCTTACTGTATCACCACAAAGATTAGGAGATTTCCAGGTAGCCCTCTTGGGTCTTCTGGATCAAGGTTTTCACTGCCTTAGTTCCTGTGACATAACAGTTTCAGGGGTTTAACTCCAAACCAAATAGGGACATCCACCCCATCTTGGATCTCAAAGCACTGAATTACTTTATTCAAGCTCAGAATCCACCGGGTCGGTTATTGCCTTCCTTCACTAGGGAGACTTCCTGGCTTCTGTGTACATCAGGAACATCCCTCTTCCACCCATCTGTCCGGCTCCAGTTAATCAAAATGGATCCTTCATTCCCAGGATGTAGTTTGAGCTATGAGTTTCTCTCAGGTACTGCTTCCTTCAGAAAGACTGATTTCCTTTTAATCGTCCATCCCTACTTCTTGTACTATCTCTTGGTGGCTGAGGGAGATCAATATTCCAGATTAGGGCTGCAGCTAATGATTATTTTCATAATCGATTAGTTCCCCGATTGTTTTTTCAACTAATCGATTGGTTGTATAAAAAAAATTATCTCTCTCTCTCCCTCCCCAACCAACTAATCGATGATGAGAATAGTTGCCAACTATTCTCATCAATTATTATCGATTTTAGTTGATTAGTTGTTGCAGCTCTATTCCAGATTAATATTTTAAGAATCCGGTTCCATCCTTTTTTCTCAAATGCACTCTTCTAGATCTGCAAGTGCCTCTTGGGCTTTTTGGAATGCAGCTATTTCCTAGATTTGCAAGGTTGTCACCTGGACTTCTGTTCACACATCCTCTAAGTTTTACCAGATAGATGTTTCAGGCCTCATCTGATGCCAGCTTCGAGTGTACAGTCCATCAGGCAGATTTTTGAACTCGCCTTAAAATTCTTTCTTCTTTTTTTAGATTTTTTTTAAAGTCCATTGATGGATGCAGGTGCCACTCCTCTTTATGAGCATGCTCTTGGTACTGTTTGCTACAAAACTGAGGCATGCTGATAGGAGTCGTTATCCTGGGCTGCTCTAATTTTTCTTTGCCAGTGTCCAATCCTGCAAGTGGTTGTATAACGTCTGATCGTTTAAGACTTCCTATGTTCCTCAATAGACTTCAAGCAATAGATTTTATGGAGAGTATACAAATCCCATTTTTGGGTATTGTGAGTTAATTCATTTTATTTTAAAAAACTACTTTGTGGCCTTTTGTGTTCCTTTTTGTTATTTCTAGGAAAACCAGAAATCTGGGTTGGACCATGTTTGTGAAATGCCCACATATTATGTCTAATTCATTATTTTTAAAACGGTAATATACTTTAAGTAGAACAAGTTGGCCAGCATTTTGAAGTTGATTTACTAAAGTAGAAGAACATGTTCACTTTGAAAAGTGCCCTCAAAAAGGCAGGTAGAGGGCAATGGTCTAGTCACCAATATCGCCTGCCGTCTCCCTGCATCAGATCTTTCCTCATTACTGACTTACTATGTTCTGCACTGTGTCTCTGTGTGAAGGCAGCCATCTTGCAGGTGGCAGAGTTTTGCTTCCTCATGTCAGAGCCTCCAGCAAGGACAACAGTGAGCACAGCAGTAGTGACATCACCATATGTCTTGAGACTAGAAGTCGGAGGCAGCAGTGCCTTGGATCTAAAGGTGCTCATACACCTGCCAATTTATCGTACGATAATCGTGGGTGATCCCGCAATCGTACAATAATCGGCAGGTGTATGGAAGGCGTGCGACCGTGTCTACTGTACAGTTGCACGTCTTTTGTCTCCCCAGCAGGCTTGAAAACCCGGAGAGAATCGTACGATTGTCGGCGGGTTAGTTGCGTTCTCGGGAGACAAATGCCGCACTGGAATCATTGCGGCATTGGAATCATCGGAAGCCCTCCCCTTAGTGGGGCGGGCTTGCGATGATCGCAAGTACGATCTGCCTGTCCAAGATGGGCAGATCGTACGAGCTTTTAATTACTTTACAACCATCGCAAGATTAAAGTCATGTGATGGTTGTAAAGTATATGGCCAGCTTTACACTCTACATAAAAAGCTGCGAGGTTGTAGGCCCAGGAGAGTGGCTATGCACATTTGCATACCAGGAAGTACACTGCCATTATTCCAAAGGAATTACAGGCAAAAATGAGAGTTTTCAGGCTACTGATTAGGTACATCTAACATAGGTGCTACTTATAACATGGCAAACATTCACTTTGTGAGTTCAGGCCCACTTTAATTCATTCATACACATGTGAGCAAACTTTTCTTTGCACAAGAGATGGTGTTCTTTTCATTGTGAGTTTTATTTGGTCATAACTCTAAGTGAATATACACTTTGCACAGTGACTGTGCTCTACTTCTTCAGAAAATGGATTCCACATTGTGTCTGGTTTGATCACTGCAGTTCTGCTTAGTTCCAAATGAACAATAAGAAGCAACGTATAGTTTACAAAGCACACTAAATATGTCTGTCACCCTAATTGTGGCTTGGTGTTTAGTTTGTATTGTCATTCTACAGCAATGTTCGGAATTGTCGGGTTCTTATGACCTGTGCAACTTTAACAAAACTCAAGCAATTGTCTGAGATGCTGAGAAATATTAGCAGTAGCAACTTTAAATTACTTTTTTTTTTGCAATATGCTTTAAGTTCATCTCCTTATTTCAAAGGAAGAGGAAGAGGAGAGGGTGGTTTTTACCAAAGAAGTTTTGATGAAGTTGAGAGTGGATTTGGCCGAGGAGTGCGAGAGATGCATCGGTCACAAAGCTGGGAAGAAAGGTGAGATAATTTGCATAAAAGGAAAGAGAGATTAACTCCATGTAAAAACATAGCTTAGATTTACATGTTTGATTTACAGTTCCATTGTAAAAAAAACAAAAACATTATATGACCAAATTAATTAGGGCATTAACAATAGTCGTAGGCTGAATGAAAATGCTGATTGTGGTGAATGGGGTTCATTTTAAATTGCCTGGGATTTAAATCAGATAAAATACAAATAAAATCACAGAAGCTTGCCATATTGAAATCCTATTTAATGTAGAGATGCAAAAGACCTGAGCATATCGTAATGCCCTACTGCAGCCCAAAACATATTTTTTTGTAATTTGAGACCGAGTGATAAAGGTTTAGAACCTCCTATCTGTTATGTAATGCTGATTGTGAATGCATTGAGATTTTGCTTTACTTTCTGTGTGGTCACAAGAAAGGTGGAGCTCAGGGCAATCTCTCCAACAGGAGTACAAATTGCAGTGGTGGTCCTTCTGTTAAGCAGGGTTAGGATGGTTTAGAACCTCTGTCAGGGGCCGTGCCCACTGTTAGGTGGATTTCTCTCTCTTACTGGGTGGGCCACCAGGACAGGAAATTACGGGTAATATCCCCAAAGGAAACCTAGACTGCAATAAAAACTCAGCAGAGTATTTTACTCTTTCCCCCTTAAAAAAAAATTAAAAAAACACTTTTGGCTGCGTTAAGCTTAAATTGTGTTGTGGTCCCCAGTAACTGGGAACACTTGATGGCCTTCACATAAATAGCCAGTATTATTGTTTGTGTAAAACTGCCATGAAACATTTTAAAACTACAAACTTGATAAAAAAAACTTACGCAGCAGCAGGAGATTTAACAAAATATGTGGCATATGTGGCATATGTCTGAAAGGTATCTTTTTCTACCCCACTAGAGGAGATCGACGATTTGAAAAAACAGCACGAAAAGAAGCAGGTATTTGTTCTCTAATTTATGTATGCAATAGATATTGGGTTGGCTAAATGAACACACACACACAGTCCCCTGAGCATTGCTGAGGTAAATCATTTGATTTTACAGAACTATTCTATTTGTTATAAACAAGGATTTTGTTTTAATATGAGAATCTGTTCATTTCACGAATACATACTTTCCTCGCAATTGGCATGCAATTATTAAAAACTATGGGGGAATTTATCAAAACTTGAGCAGACAGAATATGAAGCTGTTGCCCGTGGCAACCTAACAGCTTCCCTGTTCAATTAAGCTTTGAAAATGAAAGAAAGAAGCTGATTGGTTGTCATGGGCAACTGCTCCAGATTTGATAAATTCCCCCCTATGTGTCTTTACAAACGCTCTGTAGGACGTTGTGTTTCCTACTAATGCAAGATCGTAGAAGGGAAGCTTCCCATTGCATCATGGGGGCTGAACTTTTCTTAAGACATGCCAAGGAGATGAAGTGACAAGATAAGAAGAAAAAAGAATTTACATTTCCATATGTATAACGCAGAAAAAATGTAAAGCTAGCCATAGACGGCTCAAATTTTGTCTGATTTCTGCTGAATTGGACAAATTCGAGCTGTGTGTAGCCCTGTAGGCACCACCCAGCTCATCAAAAATCGATTAATGGTTGGGTGCTGCGACTGCCTGATTATGCAATAGCCGGAAGGGGACTTTCTCTGTCCACGCTGTTTAGTGTGAGTAGGGGAATCTAGTGATTTTAGCATCAATACATGTAAAGCCAATGCTGTTTTTTTTTTCTTCACATGACATTAGGGTTGCTGTGTGCACCATGTATAAATATTGGAATCATAGAAGAGTAAGAAAGAACCCTGGAAATAAAAATCCAGTATTGCATAATTTATGGAATTAGAAGTTCCTTAGTTTGTGTGACTGCATGCATGATTATTTTCCAGAATCTGATGAGCAATTATAAACCGCTACAAATGCCCCTGATAGTAAAAAAATTTTTTTATAATAAATAAACTACCTGTGTTGGAGGTTTTGGAACATTCAAATGTCACTGCAAGGGGTCTTTTTGGGTATGTTCATTGGTGATTGCTTACATCTAATCGGTGTGCCTGACTAAGCATAAATACTCGAACTTCATTTTAGTATTATAAGCCAGTAAAACAAACCATTGTCAATTGCCTTTAAAGAAATATGTTGGATGGAAACAACAATCAAATTTCAATGCTTTTTGCTGCCTTGAAGGATATATATATATATATATTTTATTATTCTTTCACCACAAGAAGACAAGTGTCAGTGCCTGTGTGCGTCACAGAGTTGTCATAAAAAGACATTTATTGTCGTGTTGCCCTCTCATTGGCACCACTCTGCATTTAACTGTCTGCATAGACACATTGATCAGCAGCAGGGAATTAGCTGGAAGCACACAGTTTATTCTGGTTTATTGTCACTAATATATTGAGTGGGAATTGCCGGGCCAGCCTCTTTGCAGTCCCTTTGCTTCTTCTACTCTGACATGAGCATTCCTCCCTGTCTGTAACTGCATTCTCCTGGTAGTCTGCCAGCAAGGTGTTGTTAAGGGTTAGTATAGGGATTCCACTAAGAGCAGAGTATGATTCATTGCAAAGGTCAAGCTGGTATGCATGTGGTTTAGCTTAGTCCTCATCTGAATGTGTTTGCTGTATGCCTGTCTCTATCATATATAAAGGTCTATATAAAGCTTACATGAATGTCAAGGAAGTATGCATGTATATTTGCTATATAAATGTACCTGCATTCATCTATAATGTTCTCTGTCATGTTAGCATTGCAAGTTTCTCAGTTTTCTTGTTGTCTAGCTAAGTACAGTGCACTCCACATTTTAAAGAACAGTTAAAAACAACCCTTCTCATGTGGAACAATCAAAGTTTGCTTCCCAAATGTGTCCATTGTATCATCTGCATTTTAGCATCTGTGCATGTTTGCTTGGTGTACATATTGAAATGTGCTGGTCCACTGTCTGCACATAACTGTTGTCTCAAGCCTATTCTGTCTTTTTTGGAGTGCTTGCACTCCCCTGAGCAATTCATTGTTGTAGTTGTACATTGCTATGCCGGCAATGTCATACATACCCCTGCTGTAGCAAAGGGGTTCTAGTGCTTGATATACTTCGGTAAGGTATCACAGAACAGTCTTTGGAGCCTTTATAATACCACCCTCTCTTCCTGTGGGAGTTTCCTTTAGAGAAGTGTCAGCAAGGTTATCGGAATGAGGATGGCTGAAAGGGCTAAGGAAAGTAACAGAGTTGATGTATTTTACTCCCCCAGTCCAGTCTCGCAGATTTGAAAGGTGTCCCCTCTCTGCCCATTGGCACAAACTTCCAGCTCTGTTTTGTAGGATTGTCTGTGTGTAGCTTGTGGTAACTCAGGGAGCGGACGACCAAAACTTTCCATGCAGATGCGGTATCCTCCTTCAGGTCGACGTGTTAGGCAGGGTGCAAAGCGATGACCTTGAAGTATTTCACTTGGTAGATATGAGGTACGGCTCTGGCAGATTTCACCAGAGCCTTCCTGAGTAGCAGATAAACAGACCACAAGCTCAAAATGACCCGATAAGGATATTGTCTCGCGTTGTAAAAAGGCTGCCAGAGGGCTTCCAGGAGATAAACTGTGGGTGTAGGTAAGAGGGAAGGAGAAGAAAGGGCACTCAATGCTGCACGCTTGATTGTCCAGTGAAAAATCCACGCTGACTTGTTGGATTTGCCCATCCCCTCTCTCTTGATAAAGAATTCCACTGACTCTCACCATGGTCAAAGGACTAGGCCGCGTGTTGGCAACTTGGAACATTAAACATGGCTTTCCTTCAGGACTGCCCACCGCTGCTAGTCTCGAGAAGAGGATTGAAGGGGAACGGTTCTTTGGTCTTGCTATTTTGGCTACAAAAACACCTGTGGAATTCATAATTTACAGTGGGTTAGCGTACGAGAGCTGAGAGACAATAAAAAATAACATTGTTATTAATAAATTTATTGGTTAATTTAGTCAGTTGTCCATAGAGTAAGAATATCTTACCTGTAATAAAGGCCTCCAGCATTAGCCCCAGAAGCATTTGGACTGCAAGAAGAGCAATAGCACTTGGGCAGTCCCCGCTTGGGAACATGGTTCCATATCCGATGGTGAGCTGTGTCTCCAAAGAGAATGAAAAGGCAGCAGTGAAGCTAGTGATGTACTTGACACAGATGGTGTGGTTTTCTGGTGGGTCGTCGTGGTCTAGTGCCAGATCCCCATTCATTTCTGCCAGTAGATACCAAAAGACTGCAAACAAAAGCCAGTGGGCCAGGAAGGAAGCAGAAAAGGCCAGCATCATCCAGCGCCAGCGCATATCCAGTAACAATCCCCATATATCACGTAGGTAAGACAGGCCTTGCCCCTGGATCCCAACAGCTTTTATACTGCTATGTCCATCCTTGTTCACCAATCTGTAAGAACAAGAGTTGAGCAGAGTACATCTTGGGGAACGGCTGTGGGTGTCCTCCTCCCGTTCTGTGCTGACCTGCAGCACCACTGCAAAGAGAACAAGGCCATGTCATGGACTGGTCAGCAGAAGCAAAAGCATGAAAAGGTGCACATGAACAATGGGTATATTATCCCATTCATATTGCATAACTTAAAAAGAAAAATTAAAAAGTGCTTAAAACTCTCACTTCACTCCCCCCTATGTATTGTTAAAAATGGGGCTATAGGAAGTTATATTCTAATTAACTCAATCTGTTCTGTGCTAACAGATTTCATTATCGCTTGTAAACTCAATCTGAACACTGTCTTAATAAAGGATTAAAGTCTTCGAAGAGTTGTATGTTAATACAAGGAATCTCAGTCTGTCCCCCTGTCTGTCCCTCTACTTTCACTTTCAAACTGCTCAGAGAAGCACTGAATATGCACAAAGACCTCTACCAAAGAAACCTTTAAAAGGTCAGAATTATATTTTTAGAAATAGTTTTTAGGTATGCTGTGTAAATGAGAACACATAACAGACATATAGAAATTGACTACAAATATGGAAATACACTTTACAGATGAACTTATACCCACTTATATCTTTGAAATGACAACAAATATACCTTTAGAAATATTTAGTAATGACAATCTACAAACAGATTGTTAAAGATGATTGCTGGCTTTTTATTATTTGCATACCTTATTTTTATTTTCCTTCCCATTCTTCTCACAGTGGCCATTTTTACTAAGGGCAGATTAATAGACATGTGACTAGGACACGTGACCATGCACATCATCTCATGGGGATTAAGGAAGATCTCATGAAATTAAGGAAGAGAATGCCCTGCTGATGTAACTTTCCCAGGATGCAACGCATGGGCACAATTACATCACTTTTGCCAAAGCAAACCAAGAAGTGCAAAAACATTATTTGTATGTAAAAGAAAAATATGTTTGTTTAACTAATGAATGTGAGATGATTTCATATCAGCATGCAGAGCTGTATGCTGAGGTGATTTTTAGTGAAAGGGGGTAAAGGTCCGCTTTAAGAATTAAAGCTTTGGAAGCATGCTCCTTGGAAATTCTGCTGTGGCAGCTTCCATCTTTCTGCCCTGCCATGTTTTCCATTATCCCATCTCTTGGATTAAGTGTCTGAAAAGTATGTGGCCCATTGCAATCCTGTTCTTTTGATTTGTAGTGCAGGATAGAACATACTGGTAACAACTTCCACTTGGATGCATTTTAAATAAGGCCCATACTATTTAATGGTTAATCATTCCTTTCATTTGCTTTATAGAACTTTGTAAGAAAACTGGTAGAGGGCAAAGGTGAAAACATTATTCATATCTCTTATTCTAGCCGAATTACATTTTTTATAGGAGATGCTTACTATTTTATGTTAGCCCATTCATAAGAACATGGAGAAGACAATATATGTGATGAGAGCCATTCTTTACAAGAAAAACAATGGATGGGATACCAATATCCTTCTGATTTCAGTATAGAAACACTAGACTTCGATGTTTACAGTTTAATCCTTTGTGCTACCTACATTGAACGTTCTGGAATGCCATAAGAAAAACTTGGTACAGCGTTAGGCAATGTTTATTTTTTACTTACTTTTTCGTAGTTGGTCAGTGACCTGATAAACCACGTGTCTCTCTTTTCAATAAGAAACCAACATCCAGTGGGATGAGAACTTGATGTGTGTGATGAAAACTTCTCTTCAATGCTTGTGTTCTCCACCACGTGACTCTTTCAGTAGTTTCTTGACCAATCTGAGTAAAACAGAGCAGTTCACAATGAACATCATAAGAAAAGAAAACTGAGGCCTACTTCATGACAGACACTTCTGATGCTCTGGTCCCTTTGCGGACATCTAGCCCCCCCCCCCCTTTC